GGTTGCTTAATAACAAAAAGTTTATCGTTTTTTTTTGTTCGTGGATAATATTTTTATAAACTATCCGTTGGATAGTTGGCGTATTTTATGTTACTGCTTTACTTCCATTCCAAACCGTCACGAAATATAAGGAAACAATTTCCATGAACAGAACATTTTTGATGAACAGCACTTTTAGAAAGATGAATCGTTAAGTCATAACGATTTTACTGATAAAAAGGATTAATAACACTCCGTTTCGACTAAGCCCACGAGTAAAATTTGATCGAGCTTACGAAGTTAATCCACGGCAAAACGGCTCGTTATCAAGTTGACAGAAAACTTGGAGCTCCATTTTAATGCTGAATATGCATAGCGTTGAACCGAACTTGTCAATTAACTTCGCCCCTAATCGGATAAAAAGGTAATAAGCTGAAACCACATCTTACTTACGCTGCGGCTGCGGCTATTAAGTATATTCTCGGGAGGCGCGAATGAAAATATAATATAATAAATTGGGTCATCCGAAGAGTACATTATATCTGAGATAGCGGTTGAACGACTTCCAGTAAAGAGGTTGTTAGCTTGTACAAAGAAAGCGCTGACTTAAAAAATACAGTTTTTTTTGCATTACATGGCAGTTCTGTGGAAACGGAATAATTCATGAACATAGGATTTCGTTACATGGACTAATTCGATAGTTTTACGGGGATCAATGATCTTCTATATAGAAAAAGAAGGGAAAATTAAACAATATTTTTTGTAAACCGGTGTTTGTAAATAATATCAACTTGGAAACAAAACTAATTTTAAAGTGTCTTTCTTAAATAATTATTTATATATTTCTTAAACAAATTTAAGAAGCGATATACTTATCCGGTTTAGGTCCAGAAATTCTATACCTACCACTATCTATACCTTTCAACAGATTTCCTGATCTTGTCAAGTAAAAAGAAATAAAGCAAATCGAGACCACCCGGTCCTATGAATAAAAATCTTTGAATTTAACTGATTTTATTTGGGATGTAGGCGGGGAGGTACTTCTTTTCATTGGCATAGAATTAACTAATTTTAGACTTCATTTCCAGAAGCAATGGAAGGATATTGTGGGAATATTATTTAAAGGTCATGGGGCAATCCGTTGCTAGTCGGGCGGTCAAACAATGATCGTTCATTTCTGGGATCTTAATATAGTTTACCTAATGTTATCTTATAATATAATAGATTATTTTTAGAAATACCCGACTTAGCTCTTCTTGGATTTTTGGGCACTTCTTCAAGGGTTTCTTTTTCAACTTTATCTATGAAAATTACTATGTTAAAGTCCTCTAATTCAAAGTCCTCTTACACAAGTTTCAGAATACGCACTCCCGAGCCCTTTATTAATAAACGATCAAAATAAACTTCAATTGGTTACGCAGGGTTTTATTCACATTTTTCAATTAATGAGAGATGCAATTCTGGTAACCTTACAGTAGTAACATAAATTTAATATTTACGTTATTTCACTCTAGACTGTGTTTGTGGAGGTTACTGCCCCAAGCCAAACATCTGTTGTGCCCCACGTTTCTTGAACTAGGTTAACTCTTAACTTACCTCTTAGAACTAATTTTGTGTTATTATATTTTTATTTTTACGCGTCTAACTGCTCGATGGCGCGGGTGGTTAGTGCGTTCGGCTGCGATCGTTGAAGTTAAGCAACTTTCGCTGTGGTCGGTCATTGGATGGGTGACCATAAATCTTCTATCTCGAGTTCCTCCGTGCTTCGGAAGGCACGTTAAGCTGTTGGTCTCGGCTGCATCTGCAGTCGTTAGCACCTGCTAATCCGCACTGGGCCCGCGTGGTGGGTCATGGCCCAATCCCCCTATTCCATACATGAAGGCATGTGCCCCTGCAGTGGGGACATTAAAAGGCTGATAATGATGATGTTTAACTGCTACTGTTGCTACCAATCCGCACTGGGCCGCCTGGTGGGTCATGGTCAAATCTCCCATACATACGGAAGGACTGTGCCTCAGCAGTGGGAACATTAATAGGCTGGTGTTGATGAACTCCTAGATGTTCAAATCTAAAAAAAAAATATTTCTAGAAAAAAAAATATATAATAAATCCACTCGGTTCAGGTTTCAGGCGGGATTCGGGCTCTCGTCTGCCACCTGAGTGGAATTTTTCTAGTAATATTTTCTTGATTTTTTTGGTCTTTGTTATTGCTCTACTGACTCCTGACGACCATTATATTTATCATTTCAGATGCAGAAGGCACGGGCGGTGCTGATCTCCAGCGCAAGTTGGACCTGCTCAATGGCGCATTGGATGCCGAGCGAGCGGAGCAAGCACGACGACAGATGCAGTATATTGCTCATTGTGAGTATCAGCATCATCATACTATTAATTTCTTCCCCCATCTTGATGCGTGACCATCTACAACCGTGCGATCTTGTCGATTTTTTTTACCACGTATGACAAAACTGGGAAACATATGTGTTGCCAGGAATGTTTCTGAACCAAAACGACCCGAAAATCTTCAAAAAAGGATCGTACTCCTTCCTTAAAGGCCAGCATCGTATTTGCGATACTCCTGGTACTGCAGATGTCTATGGGTGACGGTGATCATTTACCGGACCATATGAGTCTTATATATATAAAGTGGTGGTCACATAATTAAAGACACCCCCTAAGTAACCACAAAAAACTTACTTATGGTACTAACATTAGCTAAAATTAGTATTTAATCCAGTTTAATTGTTATTAAACCATACATGACGTTGTAATCTTACAATGTGGGACAAAAAATTGTTGTATTCGTTAGTAGTTTAGACACTGCTCACTATAGGAATGTAACACACACTTTTTTAACGTATTTATAGCTGGCCAGCTAATTAAAGACACTCGATTTACTTAGAAGAAATAGAAAACAATATTGTTATTATTGAAATTATCTTTATTACACAATATACCTAAAACATTTACAAAACTTTCCGGTACGTATCAATATTTGTTCGCATGTCCTTTGGCAGAAATGATTGCACGGCATCTTGGGCATGGAAGCGATCGATTTTTTACAAGCTTCCACCGGAATTTGCTTCCAAGCTTCTTTAAAAGCTGTGTAAAGTTGATGTTTGATGTCCGTTTTGTCGCCACTGTCTTCGTCACCTGGTACCACAAATTTTCTATTGGGTTTAAATCAGGACTTGACCCCATACGGGTCAATCCAAAACTGTCACAGACTGGTTTCTTAAAAATTATTTTATTACTTTTGCAGTGTGTTTCGGATCATTATCCTGTTGAAAAATCCAAATGATCGGTAAATTTTGCTCGGCATAGGGCATCATGGCTTGTTCTAAAATATTCTTGTACTGAAATTTATCCATGTTTGCCTTCTATTTTTCTGACAGGTCCAACATCAAGTCCTGAGAAACAGCCCCAAACTTTGATATTTCCGCCCCCATGTTTAACTACTTTCTTGGTATACTTTGGATCCATTTCTTTGTTCGGGGGGCGTCCCGGGCGTCTAACATATTGTTTTCCGTCAGAATTAATCATATTAATTTTTGTTTCATCAGAGAAAAGCACATGTTTTCATTCTCGTTCAGTCCAGTGTACATATTTTTTAGCGAATGCTAAATCTTGCCTTAACATTTTACTTTTTCAAAAGTGGCACCTTCCGAGACACTCTTTCGTACAAGTTTGCATCACATAGTCTCCGTCTAATTGTTCTTGCAGACAAACCCTTCGACCCTCCTGCACCAAACAACTCCGAACGTATCATTTCTGATCCCTTGAATGGTTTTTTTTTTGCCAACAACACCATCTTAGAGTCTACCCGCAGAGTAGTTTTTCTTGGTACGTTTTTGGTCGTGTTAAACTTCTTGAAATGTTTTATAGCATTCATAACCATGTTCTTAGAACAGTTCAAGTGGTTTCCTATTTTGCTGTATAACCAATCTTTATTATGAAAGTTGAAAATAATCTTCCTAGTGGACGAATTGCAACTCTTGTTTTTACCCATATTGCTGGGTTGAAAACGTAATAATTTAAATTAAAAAAATAGGTTATATATGTAATGTATATTTCGTGTATAGTTTAATAACAATAACACTAGATTAAATACCAATTTTAGCTAATTTTAGTACCATAAGTAAGTTTTTTGTGGTCAATTAGTGATTGTCTTTAATTATGTGACCACCGCTGTATATATAATAGTTTTCTTTAATATAAAAAGGTCCGACAAATGACTCCACCTCACCTCATGTTAAGTGAAGGTGTAGTCCAGACGTGAAGATAGCTGGTTTAGCAGTTTTACCTGCCACACAAGTTGCTTCTTCACGCCTCATTTATTAAACGATACCCCCGACCCGGTTGTAGGAGGGAGGGAATACGTGAGCGGACAAAGCATTCCGTTTGTGGATAGTGTGACAAAATGTACGTGTTCCCTTGTCAGCTACTTGGGAATAATCAGGCAAAGGCTTAAGGATAGAAACACGAAGGGAAAATATATGTAGCTCCACCACTTACGTGTAATGACTGTCAAATGACAACGAAGCAAGGAGAATTATTGAAATTAATACGTGGAATATATTTTTTGTTCTGCATGTATTCATTGGCTTCCCATATTAAAAATAATATGTTTCAGCGAAGCGATGGCTGGTTAAAGCGTCATGATTGTGAACGACTATTTAATAAAAAAACAGTATAAAAATACAGCCCTTGCTGAGTATCTTGCCGGTTCTTAGAAGTAAAAGGTCTCTCTTAATATTGCGTAGCTCCTATACATTCAAAAGGGTTTCTAGCAGCCTAAACTGAATAAAATATTTCTGACATTCATTCATATAATATCATATAAGTTTGTTATCGCGATTAAATAAACTATTAAATTTATTAAAATCCTAATTACATTACATTCTTAATTTATTAAAATCGATGATGTATGGATTTCAAAATAGACAAATGAAAATAGAGTTACTTTCCCGTTTGTAATATTAGTATGGCAATGCATGGCATATAAGCCAGGTTATTGCCTAATGCCTCCAGTCAATAGCAATTTACTTACTCTGTTCGCGCTATCAATATTCGCTGTGATCTTATTAGTTGGACGTGAATGCCGTAAACAGCGTATTTATGATATTCGTTATTTTGGTGTTACAGCGGGTTACTCGGAGGACTCTGACTACACCTCGGACCTCAACTACCCGGTGGGGCAACATGCCAACTGCAGCGCTTCGCAGTTCAGGACTGCTGCACACCAGATGCACACGCCACAGGTTGGTAGTAAATAGCCGCACACAGATAATTTATCCCGTTATTGATTTTATGATACAAAGGCACCAAGCATGTTGCTATTTTGCGTAAACAGGTGGCATATCGCACTTGGATCAGCGGAGTTGTCTCCCCCGCTTATGCGCTCTTACCAACTCTTGTACTCTTTACCACTTAAACCATCAGGTGGGTAGAGTAATTTGCCTACTTAGCTATAAAAAATATGGCCTGCCTGATTGTAAGCGGCTGCCGTATCCTTTTTTTTGTCTGGGAAATGCCTTACGCATCCTTCAACCACCGGGGGAGCGAGAAGAAGGTATGTGGGACTCCTCCCTACTCATAACAGCCAGCCCTTAGGCCGGGTGATATGAGCAGGGCCCTACCCTAATGCCCTGAACATGGCCACTTAAAACGTGCTGCCATATTCTATAGATACTGGCGATACCAGAGAATCACTCGCGCCGTTGCCTACCTTAACACCGAGGAGCCCTTTAATCTTCTGGATTAAATCCGATTTGATGTTAATTGGTAGTGGAATCCCAAACGCGAAGATATCATCTTCTTATAACTATGAAGGATTGATTTTACTAATATATACCAGTCGGAACATTTGTTGTAAGTTGAAGGAGACTACAGCCATACTACATTTATTTTTGTTTACTGTTTATGTAGAGAAAGAGTTGAGTTTAATAAGGGGCATAGAGGATTTTTACTCGAATTTGAGTCATCGTTTGGGGAAATTACCAACACCATATAGAAGATATCAGAAAAATAAATAATCAGTGTTGGTTGTATCTTTGTTAGTTAGTAAGGTTCCAGGGCTCTATTGGGTTGGAGTCTACCCCTAGGGTCAGGGTAGGCAACACGCGAGTAGGGCAGTGGTATTACAAGCATCTATACATATTATAGAAATTAACATTTCAGAGATATGACCTCAGATCTGGTTACTTTTTTCATAGTGGAATTTTGTGCTATAGAAATACCTAAGGAAAATTGTATATTAGTCGGTGTTTATAGACCAGATCGCAATATAAATGTATTCCTTGAGCAAATGTCGAGGCTTCTAAACAGAATAAATGCAAAGGATAAGACAAAGCACTTGATCATCATAGGCGATTTTAACATACATGTGTTAGGAAAACGTAACCCTACTGCTTCGGAATTCCTTAATATGATGAGAACATATAACTTAAAACAGTTGATTAATAAGCCTACCAGGGTAACAAAAAATTCTTCTACTTGTATCGATTTAGCATTCACAAATAACACATCTTTGATCAAAGATTCTTATGTTAGCGACTATGGTCTTTCTGATCATAAGGCGGTTACTGTACAAATAATTACACATTCAGAGTATGCTAAAAATAAAATATGGTATATTAATAAAAGAATAATGGATAATAGGAAAATAAATAATTTTAGAACAGCTCTAAAAACATAAATTGGAATAATATTATTGATGAACAGTATGATGTAAATAGTAACTATAATGCATTTCTTGATACAGTTACAAATATCCTAAATCTATACATGCCAGTTACCAAAACTAAAATGAAAATGAACAAACAAAAAGGCTGGCTAACTAAAGGGCTTAAGAAGTCATGTTTGCATAAGAGACACCTAAGAATTTTATTAAATCAAACAAAAAGTAAAGTAATAAAAAAGTATTACACTATATATAGTAATATACTAAAGCGGAGTGTAAAAATTGCAAAGAAAAATGTATATATTAAACTAATGAAAAAATCTGATAACAAGACTAGAACAATGTGGAATATCATAAATATAAAAACCAACAAAACCAAAATAAGAACATTTAAAAATCTTGAGTTAAAAATAAATGACAGAATTATAAAATGTCCCCATACGATATCCAACACATTTAATGATTATTTTGTTTCAATAGGAAAAAATAACGATGACAATGATTATAGTAAACCAGGACGTCCTGTAATAAATCCCGCATTACAAACAATGTTCTTACTCCCAATAGAGCGAAAAGACACTATAAATATCATTAAAAATTTGAAAAATAAACACAGTTTTGGCATAGATGATATACCACCAATTTTGCTTAAACAATGTGCTGATGAATTTTCAATGCCCTTAACTAATTTGATAAATCAGAGCTTTAAAGAGGGTATTTTCCCTGATAAAATGAAAATATCATTGGTTAAGCCTGTACATAAAAAATATGACAAAGGCAATCCGAGTAACTACAGACCAATATCACTCCTTCCAACGTTTTCCAAAATATTTGAAAAGGCGATGAGTATACAATTATATAAATTTCTAGAAAAATACAACATTCTTGATGAAAGCCAGAACGGATTTCGTAAAAATAGATCAACTACATTAGCAGTATTCAAATATATCCAAATGGCACTTCAACAAATAAACGATAAAAAACTGGCGATAGGTCTTTTATTAGATATGAAAAAAGCATACGACAAAGTTTCGTACAGTATTTTGTTAAAAAAACTTTATGGCTGCGGAATTCGGGGCCCAGCTTATTCATGGTTCAAGTCATATCTGAGTAACCGAAAACAAATTGTACAAATCGAACATTTCGACGAACAGAAGAATACTATAGAAAAAAAAAGTGAGTAAAAAGTGAACTCTGCTGTAAGAAATCTCACATGCTCAATTCCTCAAGGTAGTGTGTTAGGCTGTTTATTATTTATTATCTATATTAATGACCTCCCAAAAATTTTAGACAATGATTTAACATATCCAATATTATTTGCTGATGACATATCTATCTTAATTAAATGTAGTAAAGACTCTGACCCTAATATTGACATACTCCGTACAACAGAAAATATATCGCACTGGCTCACAGAACATAACCTGGAAATTAATTGCAAAAAAACTAAAGTAATAGAATTTAAATCGTACAAAACTAAACCTTTAAATCTTGACGTAAATTTTGATGATATCAAATAGATTCAGTAGACACTTTTAATCTCCTCGGATTGATAATAGACTCAAATATTTACTGGAAGGGCCATATAGACCACATTAAATCGAAATTGTCCAAATTTACATATGCACTATTCGAAATTAAGAGTAGCACAAACGTAGATACTGCTCTAGCAGCATACTACGCATATGCATACTCCTGGCATAAATATGGAGTCATGCTTTGGGGCAACAGCGTTAATGCAGGGCAGGTATTTATACTCCAAAAGAAATGTGTGCAAATCCTTGCTCAAATTAACAATATGCAGAGTTGCAGACCTTACTTTTTAAAATACCAACTACTAACTTTACCATCGATTTACATACTGGATAATTGCTTGTTTATTTTTAAACATCGCAATAAGTTTATCCGTGTTCAAGACACACATAATATTAGCACTCGCAACAAAAACAGGCTGTATATACCTCCTTCACGCATAAAGATGCTAAACACCAGCCCCAATCATATGGCTATAAAAATATTTAATAAATTACCATCACAAATACGGGATGAACAGGAACTCCCTATATTTCACAAAAAAATAAAAAAATATTTAACCGATGAATGCTTCTATTCTATCGAAGAATACTTTAATAAATTGAATTAATTTGTATTTTTTTTTTCAATTGTTTTTGTTTTGTTAAATTATGTTATAATGATGGTATCACCCAAACCAAATTAAATATGTTACAATTTTATAATATCATAATAATAATATAAATGTTTAATTATATATTATTTGTTACACCTGTACAAGGTGACTAAGTCATAAGATGCTATGTATTATGTTTAAGAACTTATGTAACACTTAGTTTGCAAATAAAGAGTTTGAGTTTGAGTTTAGTCTGTTAAAAAAAATGAGTTATATTACGTACGACAAAAAAAGATTGGTAAAACACCCAGTGATTTTGTTTTGTTTCTTTTCAGAGGTCATTGGAGGTGTCACGAGAAAATTCTTATGAGAGAGAAGAGTACCATCTTCATGGAGACACAGATCCTCTATATTATAACAGTCAGCCGAGAACTAATAGGTTAATATTTTTATCTTTTTTATCAATTAAAATTTATCGATCGAGTTTATTATTCTCGACATTAAACTGCTAGATTTGTAAGCCCAAAGAAAATTTCAGTAGGAAAAAGTCCACTCCGGCGCTTATTCAGGACAAGCCAGCCGGATACCTTCGTCAAGTAAATTTGTTTCTAGAATTTTTTTTCTTGGACTTTTATTATTCTGTGATTAAACATATAAAAATGTCTTATTATCTCATCTGTGATAAGATAAAATAACAAGCATCAAAAATTCTGTATCTGCACCATCTTTATTTTACAAAGCTAATTTTTACGTTACGGAAGCGCATTCTTACGTTTGAGATTGAATTTTGTATGACTTTTGTCATAGTAGCCCATGGTATAGCCATGGGTCACGATTGATGAATAGAGGCGTTTACGAACGAGTGGAGTACATTATCACTTGTAATTGGCCATGATTGGCAGTGATCGACTGCGATCGCTACCATGTCGGTTTTTAGGACAATCATCAGAGATGTGTAAGATATCCTCTATGTAAGATCCTAGGAAGCCAACTATTTAGATAACAGATAAAAGATACCTTTGGAAAAGGTATTTGAAATATCAGATAAAAGATCGTATTTTCTAAACAACGTGGCCTTAGACCCCGCGATCGCCTTTTATTTTAAATCTTCACTTAGAAGTATTGATAATAATAGTAGTATATTTATTTCATAATAAGGTAGGGTAACAGGTTACAGCTTACCTTAAAACTAGTCAAATTATTACAGCTTAAAAAAACATGCAATAGTAACAGTACAAGAACAAATTGAGTAGCATTCTGTACCGGTCTAGGTGCAAAACCGGAATTCCGAATTCCGGCGTCTCCATCCTCGATGGACAGAAAAGATCAGTAAAATGTTACACATAAATTACCAATAATAATTTAAAGAGTACATAGTTACAGCTGTATTTAAATCTTAAAAATTATATTATTAATTTATTTATTTATGTATAAAAACTCATGCCAATAATGTGATTTTGTCCTCTCTGTGTATAGATTTAGAAGCAATGTACTTAAAATTGTTTCTAATTGGCATTATAAATTAAAAAAAAATTCCTATCTTTGAAAAACTATATTTTGAAGCTTAATGTATATTCTTACAAAATAAATAATGTTCTATTTCAGGATAGAGACATGGTCGCAGCTGCATGCTCAAGCGAGTGTAGAGTCCGCTATATCCTGGCGGACCGCAACCGACTGGCAGTCTGGAGGTAAATAATAAAATAAATAAATAGATAATAAATATTTCCATCGCTCACTCCAATTAGCCTAGCCCCAAAGTAAGCAACGTAGGCTTATGTTATGGGATACTAGGGTAACGGATAGAATACATATACTGATACAGTAAGTATATTTATATAGAAATAGATATTAAACATCCATAACTGAAGTACAAATGCTTCTATTCATCACACAAACATCTGACCCCACAGGGATTCAAACCCGGGACCTCTCGAGTAGGCGACACTTTGAAACCCGGCGAAAAAATAAAAACTACAGGGCCACGGAGGTCGTCTATTGATATATTTTAATTCCTTTAAAAGAGTCGTGAAGAAGCAATATGCAGGCGGGCAAAGTGAGGATGGCTGGTGTGGCAGAAAAGTTGCTGTACCAGCTATCTTCACGCCTGGACTCCACCGTCTTAGAAGGGTTGAAATATACTAAATTTAGAAAACCACACTGTGATACCTTATTAAGAGTCACTTCAACTTAAGGCACAAGGAGCTATAATACAAAAAAAGTATCATACTATTTTAAACCGCTTTAAACTGTGTTCAGGCAAATTCCGTGTTGAACGCATTTCTCACTTTTACATGGTAATCAGGAAGAGGTATTAATAAAAAAGACAGATTTTAATTAAAAAGTACTCGGTACTGCTCGAATTTCTAGGTGCTCGTCCAGTAAAATTATTAGCAAAGAGAGAATACATTTTTTTTCTTTTCCGCAGAAGAGCAGCGGCGGCCAAGTCTCGAACGGCAGAATACTTTGTACGATGATGGGATGAACTATAGTTATGACGTCTATAGTACTAGCACGCACATTAGGTAAGTAAACAATTAGTAACATTTAAATAAGCATTTTAATTTAATTTTGTCAATTAGTCGTGAGCAGAGGTAAGGCTTAGCGGATTTCCCACTCAAATTAGAGCCTTCCGTCTGGGGAAGTAACCTCCACCTAACAGTAAAGTAACACTACTTCTTGGTGGTGAGTGTTTCGGTGAGCAATGTTCCAGGGCTCCACGGGACAAGGGATTCGGTGCGAGTGATATTTTTGCTATCGCCAGCGTCTTTACGCTATGGTGGCCCTTTTGTCAACAGGCAGGCCTTACGCCTTTTTGCCACTCTTGTAACATAAAAATGTCAACAAAAGCTGTTCCTCTTCCTTGACAGAATTATGCCGTATCTACTTAGTGTTGCATAAATTGAACTTTAAATTTTTCATGGCTCGAAATGTGCATTTTATAAGTCCCAGACAGTATTATTCGGCGTTCCCGTCTCCGCCACGCTATGGACCTACGAGTAGCACCTGCATCCATGGCTTAGATACTAAGCAGTTTTGTCTCTGTGTATGAGAATGACCTAATAAGCTGGTTAGAAATTCAACTGCCGAACGAAACTGGACCAAAAATTCCTGCAATTTGGTTAACTTTTATAATCACAGTTCTAATGCTCTCGGCACAATAGCTATAGCTATATCTTCACAATAACCATAACCATTAAAAGAGTGGAATAGAGTTGGTATTATTGACTATTTTTTTATAATATTGATAGCATAAACTATTTTTTATCCTTCTCTTTTGAGGCCGGGTAAATCGAGTTCTTGGTTTCTTGGTTTCTTAGCCTTACAGTTTATTCAATATAATGGATATTGAATAAACTGTAAGGCTTTCTATAAGCCTTTGTATGCGTATATTAAATATCAATATAATTTATTCAGAGTCGGCTGTTACAAGCACTTATGAAAGTTATCAAACTTCACCAACGGTTCTCAAATCTTCGGTGGTGGACCCTGTACTGAAAAGAACCGACAAGAAACTCAGTAATTACTATTTTTGTACTCTACTGTTGTCTCCAAAGGAAATAAATGAAATAGGCTAGTACGTTTATACGTTACTTATTTGTGTATAGTTATTCCATAAAAGTTATTTATAATTCTGTTGCGATATCAGTAATAAAAGGAAAATAAAAACTATGCTTTCAAATATGCCGCGGAAATGTTTCTTTAGCCAATATGGCGTTCCTCATGTGCCGTCATTAAAACGTCAAATAGTACAAAGTAATGTAACTTCGACAGCATGTTTACAAATAGGTGACGTCATTTTAGGTTGCGCCAATTCAAGGCGTTTTCGGTCACGTGATAGAAATTCAAAAAATACTTTCCTTTTTCATGATTTTAAGTAATAATATCAACTCATTTATTGTCAGAATACTTAAATAGCTCCCAATAGTCATGTTCAATACACATGCCAATATTAAGTAGATCATTTTTCATTCTGTCAAATAGCCAAATGAAATTACACCCATTATTCAATTACTTACTGTTCTTTCACAGGGACCACTCACATATATCTCAGCAGCCCAGCTACGAAGAGTACTTCGACTCGAGTAGCTACCCCTACCAGACCTCGTACCTGGGCGACGACTCGCGGCAGTGGGACAGCGGGGGACACACACAGTTCTTTTACGATGACAACTACGGTCTCACACCTACCGAGTACGAAAATGTCGTCAACAAGCGGCGGTCTTCTGTCGTCCAGCTGCCACAGATACCGCCAAAACAGGTACTTGCCATTTTCAATCAAAATATACTGGAGATAATGGCACAGCCGAAACAGGTATTTGCTCCTTTTTTTCAATCAAATGTACTCGCGGCAGTGAGACAGCGGGAGACACACAGTTCTTCTTCAATGACAACTACGGTCTCGAACCCACCAAGTACTAGAATGTCGTCAATAAGTCTTCTGTCATCAGCTGCCACAGATACCGCCGAAATAGGTTCTTGTTTACTTCTTTTAAATAGATTTGTAACAGAGGTTTTCTTTCGATTTCATATATTAATACATCTCTTATTATTAGAAAAGGAAAATACAGAAATAACGATAAATTTAAATAAAATAGAACAGCAATAATAAAAAACATGCCCTTTTAAGTTTTGCCTTTGACGATCGTAAATCAGCTACCTAGTACCAGTCATCTAAAATTTACGCCAGGTTAGTGCTTAAATAATTATATCAACAACCATGTCTCAGAAAAGAATGCATGTATTCATCATGCAAATAAATGCTCCTTCCATGATTCAGACCTACCAAGGTACCTGTAGGTACCTTTGGAGCATATATGACGACCTCCGTGGCTGAGTGGTTTGTACGCTGGGTTTCATGGTGTTGCCAACTCGAGAGGTCCCGGGTTCAAATCCCGGTGGGGGCAGATGTTTGTGTGATGAATACGAGCATTTGTACTCCAGTCATGGATGTTTAATATGTATTTCTATATAAATAAATTTATATATGTACAGTATATGTATTCTATCCGTTACTCTAGTTATCCCATAACACAAGCCTTACAGTGCTTACTTTGGGGCTAGGCTAATTGGTGTGAGTGTTGGAAATATTATTATTATTATTATATATCTAAAATGCTGATGTTGCGACAACTGGTTGTTTATCAAATGTGTTAAATGAAGAAACATACTCGTCCTGATTTAAATCTATCTGTTTGACCATTTCTTCACGAGGATTGTTAACATTAGCCATCGCAATGATTTACCAAAATTTAAGAAAACTAACAACGTTGTGTCTGATTACGTTTTAACTTTAACAATTCGTTTTGTTCCAGCTACCGCCTTCATCCCGGTATTCAGATTATAACGAGATGGCGCCGTACAGACCTCGGCCGCGACGTACGACTGCTAGTCTGCCAGGTAAATTTAATTACTATCATCACTGATGGGTATGGGACAGGTGTGAGTACTGTCTAGTTTTTAGTGGATAGGACGCCGCAAATGTAGCTGAGCCACAGAGCTAGACAAGAGTCGTGATGAGTACATTAACAAAAATGTATCCAAAAATATGTAAGTTAGATGCTATCTTATAAATGTAACCTGCTTTGTTATGACCTCCGTGATTAAGTTGCTTGTTAATTAATACTTACCGGTATCCATGAAATTTTTGCCACACAGATTCCTACGACCATTGTTCCATCTGCAGCAAAACTTCTTTTACACGCAAAGTTTGCTTTCAGCGACGCCATCGTCAACTCCCAAGCGCGGGCGTGCGTTGCCAGTCCCGCCTGGCAGTGAGACTGGGTCGCTGCGGTCGGGTCGCGGGCGCCGCTTGCCCCGCCCGCCCGCAGTCGCCGTCGCCCCCGCCCCTGCAGCCATCCTCCCCGCGCCGCACACGATGCCCCCCACGCCTGCGCACACACACGTGCCTTACATTCCTGGTGAGCTATAGTATCTAGTTAGGAACCAGTCCCACCAGGTAGTGAGACTGTGTCTCTGCGGTCGGGGCGCGGGCGCCGTTTGCCCTGCCCGCCCGCAGCCGCCGTCGTCCCCGCCCCTGCAGCCGTTCTCCCCGCGCCGCATACGATGCCCCCCACGCCTGCGCACACACACGTGCCTTACATTCCTGGTAAGCTATAGTATCTGGTGAGGAACCAGTCCTACCTGGTAGTGAGACTGGGTCGCTGCAGTCGGGTCGCGGGCGCCGCTTTTACCCCGCCCGCCCGCAGTCGCCGTCGCCCCCACCCCTGCAGCCATCCTCCCCGCGCCGCACACGATGCCCCCACGCCTGCGCACACACACGCGCCTTACATTCCTGGTAAGCTATAATATCTAGTGAGGAACCAGTCCCACCTGGTAGTGAGACTGGGTCGCTGCGGACGGGACACGGACGCCGCTTGCCCCGCCCGCCCGTAGCCGCCGTCGCCCCCCATGCTTGCGCACACTCCCGTGCCTTACATTCCTGGTAAGCTATACTATCTGCTATTTGTAAACTAGGCAACAATCTGTCCACATCATACTTTAATAGAATGATGAAGACAGGCTGATGTCAAGCTTACAGATAGTATATAGCCAAGTTAAGTGCCGGCCCTGGAGGTGGGTGGGTGATAATGTTTACTTTTTTTAATCATTTTAGCTGCATTTTGAGTGTCTTTAACCGTTAAGCAATTCTGTAGCAGCCGGTCGCAACCCAGTTGCGAGTTAAATAATAGGCCTGCCTAATTTAGGAGACACCGCAGAGAAAAATAAGATATGAAAGTTCATTGTTCAGTTGCACCGACTCCGTCCGCCTAACCGCGGCCGCCGCTTGCCCATGTCCTTACATTCCCGGTGAGCAACTATGTTTCTTTATGCCACGGCCATATAATCTCGTAAAGATTTGAGTCCCATTGTTGCGACAAAACATGGAATTCGACCTACAAATTGGCATTCTCTTTACATTTTAAAAATGCATCGAGATGGTATAAATCAGTACATCTCGATAATTTTGGTGGCAATGTATATTTTTTTTATATAAATACTTCCAACTGGAAAAAACGGACACTCAAGATACCGTTTAAATTACCAAAATATGTAAACAATAGCATACACCGTTTCTGCAATTCTATTTTCATCATAAAATCTCATTAACTTTTATGAGCTATCATTTATATAAGTTTCTTAATTATTTCTATGTCAAAAACAAGTTATTTATTTAAACTTATATAATAACAATTACTCCAACAGAACCTGAAAGAATAGCAGACGAAAACTTTGGTTACGGCAGCTATGGATACCAAACAGAATATCAAACCAGTACTGATCAATATCAAGACCCTAATTACAATACAAGGTACGTCTTTTGGTTTTTCGCAAGGCTAATATAAACTTTAGTATATACTAAATAGAGTTTAATATATACTAATTTTAAATATTTTGGTATAGATTTCACAAAGACTTTTTGTCCTTAATAATTGTTTGTTGTAGGTAGTTTTTGAAAATTTTATACAATTCCATTAAGGACTATATTTTTATACTAGCTTTTGCCCGTGACTTCGTCCGCATGGAATTAGTGATTTGGGTAGCTTATTTTTTTCCCAATTCCATCAATCTGCTTACTATTTAAATAGCTAAACGTTAAAATGCGAGTTAAAATTTAATTTTCCATTATCATCAACCTATTCAGTCAACACGGCTGAGGTATAGGTCTTCCCTGTAGGATGAGATAGGGAGATTGGGACACGACCCACCACGCGGTTCATTGCTTATTTGTGGGTACTAAGGAACAAGATCAACGACTCAACGTGCCTTCTAAACCAAGGAGAAGCTAATTCCACGCGGATGAAGTTGCGTTGCTCGGGTTGGGGTCTTACTATTTATTATCAGAAATATCTGCTACAAAAACTTGCTGCAGAGGGATACAATATGATATCACATTTAAAAAGGTGTTAATAGCAGTAAATAGTATGGATGATTTAGCTGCAGGCACACTACACAGATAAAACTTTTCTACTTTTTACTTAAACATAAATATTTGAAGATAAAAAAAATAATGAGTATTAGACTTTCTTTTTATTTCAAACTCTGCGAATTCTATAGATCTTGAAACTTACACAAACACAAACCTAAACACCAACGCCATCCAGCGGCATCTATTATCTGTATTTAAAATGACATTTTATATGAACTCATATAATCGAACTTCTGTGTGGCTTTAAATTGTAATAACTTTTGATAAAGTACGCCGATTTTAATGAAATAAAGACTAAGGTGATACCTTGAAACACACTCTACAAACATATTTTCAGTTCATTGCATGTTCGGGAGCCGTTTTTGGTTGATATGATTTCCAAATTGCAGAAATAGCGTTAGACAAAAGTCCTAAAAATTAAATACATTTCTTCTATCTTTTTAAGGACTACTACATATTCTTAGCCCCTAAAACTACTTTTTTGCAAAAAATAAACACGAGAATCCCTCAGGAACCTAACATTTTTCCCGGATATAAAATATCCTATATCTTATTCCAGGTCGTAAACTAAATGCGCGCCAAATTTCATCCGCATCCGTTCAGTAGTTTTTGCGTGGTTGAGTAACAAACATACAAACTTTCACATTTGATGACTATAATATTAGTCGGATTTAATATTTTTTACTGTCTTCATAGTTACGACGAAGATGGGATGCAGCCTTTCTTCGATGAAACTCCGCACGCAACACCGCCTGCTGCTGGTAAAACCAAATTTTTGTGAAATTATTAAATAGAATAACGTAATATCTTTGATTAAAACATTTTTCAGCTCTTAGCAAATAGTTCGTAGCCCTGACACTGAAAATTGTTTCAATTGATAACAATTTCCGGTTGCGGCGATTCAGAACAAAATTAGTTTTTATCGCAAGTAGTCTAACATAAACAATGTTTAAAAAATGACGTGTCAATTAATTCATACGCTGTGCGAAGAGTGTTCGTTTAATTTATTTCGTGTTTTCTTTAAAATTTCAGCTCAAAAATCATCATGGATTGATTCAGAAACTCCGCAATTCACATACCCAGTGACTACTGTTGACGATACATTAGTGTCTAAATCTGTGCCAAGTACTATTACGTCTTATTTACCACAACCACCGGTGTCTCATCAACAAGACTCTTATCAGGATAGTTATCAACAATATGATGTGCAATATGATGAACAGAACCAGTATCAGTATGACCAACAAGATCAGCAATATGACATGCAGCAAAATCAGTATCAACAAGATCCATATCATGACAAACAAGAGTACCTGCTTCAGCAACACACTTATGACCAACAGTATCAAGTAGATCAATCACAACAACAATATCAGTATGAACAACAACAATTACAGCAGCGTCAGTTACAACAACAGCAACAGCAATTACAACAGCAGCAGCAGCAACAGCAAGAACAGCTAAAACAGCAACAATTTCAGCAGCAGCAATATCAACAACAACAGCAAAATCTACAGCAGCAGAAGCAACCTGCTCAACAATTGCAAGCTAGTGTTCTTACTGGAGCAGCTACTTTAGGGTCTTTAATGGCAGGTGGAGCAAAGAAACTTGGAAGTTTCTTCGGTGCTGCCGCTGCGGCAGTAGCTCCTCCGCCAGTGAGTCAGCCCACTGCATCAATAGCAGTAACGACTGCACCCACCACTCACTTTGGACCCGTTATAGCACCTGTCACACCGTTCTCAAGTACAAGTACAACAACCATCAACGCCTCCGTCCCAGAAGTATCACCATCAGTGCCAGTATCTACAGTTACAACCTCAGCCCCAGTCGCCTTACCACGGACTCCGTCGCTAAGAAGACAGGAGTCTATACAGAGACCTACAGTACGTCGAACGCGGACGTTGCCAGACGCCCCGGATGACCTACCCCCGTCGGGTTACGACGAAAGTGCCTACGAGGAAGAGTACCATAAGACTGAATATGATCAATCTATAAGTCACGACAGAACCTCCTTGGATAGGTATCGCGACGACGATTATGTTCACGATACCATCCACGAAGATGTCACTGAAGAACGGCGGATGTCTGAGGAGCCCAGTGGGATGCAAAAGATTGCATCCCCCACTCGGAACGGCTTGCAAAAGCGAAAGCCTTCCGTAGATAGCTACCACAGTCAAGCGCCTTCAATTATTGACCGCAGAATATCCCAAAGTTCTTTTCATCACGAAGAGAAACTGTCAGTTCCCATAACACAAGAAGGTTAGTTTTAATCATGTTTTTTTTAAATATATTATAACAGTGGAATTTTACGAACTAGCTCTAATCCTTTCACCAGGGTGTAATTTATAACAATATGCATCTACCTAAGTTATTTACACACTACTTATTCGAAGTTAATTTAGATTTATATCATTAAATTTCTTTAGTACACAATAGGCACCGCACATACGTATAATAAAGTCAATTTCCTGTGTTAAATCAATATAACCTTTAATATAACTTGAACTTTTAAGGTGACAACGCCACGAAACCGTATTAGAGCAGAAATCACCATCATTAGGTTCCCATGTCATCCCCTAAAATACTATTCCATAACGGTTCTGTACGCTGACAGGATTTACTATTTGTACTAGTAAATGGTCATCGTATTCTAAGTTTTGCTTACAGGTATGACATAAAAGTGGCTTGATTTATTTAACATTGATACAGCAATCGTTACAGTAGGAGAGCCCAAACGGGGATTTTGCGATTTACTCGAGCGTTGCAGAATAACATAAGGGGGGCAACCTTGCACATTGTGAAGTGCACACACATACCTGAGCCCTTTATAAAGGGTCGAATGTCTCGGGCAGCAAAAAAATATAAAACAACAATCAGTCGTGACCTTTGACCAAAACGACAGTCTTTTGAATAGGAGCTACTGGAAGGTTCGCGTAACGTTTCTGATAACGGAAAATATTAAACTACCGGTTTACATAGTATGGGTGGCATATATGGCTACCCATATAAAGGATAGAAAATAGAAAAAAAAATTCGAGCGCGTCAGATATTGAGAAGAGATGTTACTTGAACCCTTCAGTGTTTTAGTCTTTAATACAATTTTATCTAAGTTAATTGAAACCACACTTCTTATTTAACAGCCGACATCTTGATTATTATTCATATTGTAACAATTTTTGTTACCACCGACTATTTCAGGGCTTTTACATGAGACTCGAAATTAATTAATCTATAATCAGGGCGCCGTTTTACTGTTATTTGAGGGAGATAAAATAAAAATCAATAACCGCAGTGAACAAGATAAATGTATTGTTAATATTCAGTTCAATTTTCAACATATATTAACACACTTAACATTATAAATTAAGATCTTTGAAGATGGCTTTTATAAATTAAGGTATAGAATATCAGTGACGAACATACAATCAGAACATGTGTACCTACAGTTATATTAATGTTAATATTCTAAGGAAACATTTTGTTCTATCAAGTATCGTACATACAAATTTATTTATATAAAGATTCTAATGAAACAATTCGTTTGGCAAATATGAAGCTACTTTCGTTAATGAATCTACAGTTTACAACAATAAATCTTTTATTTATGTTCTAACAATCTGAAACTTCGTACTTCGGAGAATGCACTGCTTAAAGATTAAATAGGTTGAGAGTTTACTTAGCTTTCAAGATATTGGTACCATCAAGCGATTCCGGCATCCACGTGGATGGTAATAGAATCTGCTGTCATCACCAGTGTTCTTTGTTTGATTAAGATTGCATTCACAGGCTCATTTATATATAAATATCCAAAGAAATCCCAAGCAGGATTAAGTAATTGTGATTATCGTATACTGTTTTTAATTAGCCACTTCAAAGGACCTAGAAACAATTACACATTTTTCTATAGTTCAATAAAAAAACCTAACTTGACCTACAGCCTAAACAGTTAGCTATATTGGACTTACCCGTTAATCCGGGGAAAATATTTTAATTAATTATGCACTGACTATACTTTCCAGTCACTGTGCAATTTACTAGATGTTCAAGTGTTCGGTTCGCAGACAAAAGAGAGTGAAATCGTCTGCGCAAAGCTATTTATAGAGGCCTAGGATCACGTGACGGCGTCCTAGCAAATTTCTCTCAAATCACCATATTTGGTGCGAGGAATCGACAGGACCGGTTAATACGGCTACGCCCATCTCCCTCCAAGAAACTGCTTCCTGAACAATAGCTGATCACGTCATCAATACGTGTAATTTCATTTAACACTATTAAATACAACTCCATCTATCTCATCATTCAAATACAACTATCATATTTTTTTTTTCATAATATATTCTGTGCTTCTTTAAAACCAATTACATTGTTAGATGATGGATACGTATGGTGATAGATGGCGCTTTGATTAGTAATATTTCTACAACTTAATATTCTAAAATTATATTGCTACAATATATAGTTACAACCATAGACAATCAAATAATAATAGATTACAGATTAGCAATACAACATCTTCCTCTTTCTAACAAAAGTAAGTTTCTGCAGTTTTTATTAATAATAACAAAATATTCCTAATGATTTTTCCTTCCCCCTTATTTAAACAAACATTGACTTAATTATTTAATACAGTGTACAATCATTAAATCTACTGGACATATTTATTTGTCGCTTTGATCTCACAGTATTTTCTTGATTAATTAATAAAGAATCATCCTTATTACTATTGTTACAATCATATTTATCTTGACTCTTTAGCTTTGGAAAATTGTAAGCAGACATATCTATTTCTTCATTATTACTCCTACGTGTACGTAATTATGAAGAGTTCCTCCTAATGATTTTATTTGTGCTTCATACTTTGACAACATAAGATCTGGGAGTACAATGGTTACCAATCACTCCACCGGGCACTATTTGTGTTTTTGTATTAACACCTTTACTAAATATATAATAATTTTTACTAAATATTTGTTTACTTTTACATTTAATGTCATGATTATCCTTATATTGTTTTTGATGCTTATTTATTAAATGTTTTGAGTTACCTGCACATTTAGGCTCTAACAAATCTTTTGACATTGGTAATTTAGTTTTTAATTTTCTACACATTAAAATTTCAGCTGGTGATAGCCCCAAGTGAGGAATGGGTGTTGACCTATAATTTAACGGAGCACTTTCAATATCACAGTTATCTTCAAAGGATTTTTTAATTAATTGTTTTGCAATATGGACAGCTTTTTCAGCCATTTCATTGGACCTTGGATAGCAGGGACTACTAGTAATAATATTGAAATTCCAGGCTCGAGCAAAGTTACTAAATAATATTGAACTGAAAGGCACATTATCAGCTATCATTGTAGAAGGTATTTCACTACAGGCAAACATTTTCTTTAATAAATTTATTACACTTTCGCTGTCTTTGTATTGAAGCGGTTGTACTTCCAACCATTTCGATAAATAGTCAATTAACACTAAATAATCTTTGCCGAAGATAGTTAATGTGTCAATACCAACTTTTTAAAATGGAAGTTCAGATATGTCATGAGGAATTAAAGTTTCATGTGACTTAGTTGCTCTATGTTTCTCACAGATTTTGCAACATAATAAATATTTTTCGATAAAAGTATTCATACCTTGCCAATAAACCAATTCCCTAGCCTTTAATTTAGTTTTAGTTACCCTTATATGACCCTCATGTAAAAATTTCAATATTTTTAATTTTAACTTTTCAGGAATAATAAGTTTATTTTTGAACAATAAGGTTCCTTTATCAAAAAAATATATCTTCTTTTAGACTCCAATAATATTTAGCACTATCTGGAACTTCTTTTAATTTCTTAGGCCAAGATGTTTTACAATAATTTATTAACAATTTTAAAACTGAGTCTTGGGTTGTGGCTTCTTTTAACTGTAAAATGATCTATTTTATCATATTGTATTACACTGTGAACTGTACCACTGATATTTAGCTCGTGCTCATAACTTCTTCAATAAAAAATCTTGAAAATAACTCTGCTAGCAACATGTGCTCCAGGTAAGTATTTAACATCAAATTTATATTTAGACACAATCATTGTCATTTTCTGTAACCTATCAGATGACACTTTCCACAAATCTTTACTAATTAACCTAAGTAATGGTTTATGATCTGTTAATACTGTAAAGCTATATCCATATATATAATTATGAAATTTTCGTAAAGCAAATACAATACTCAGAAATTCCTTTTCAATCTGTGAATAGTTAACTTTAGTATCTGTTAAGGCCCTAGAAGCAAACGCAACTGGTTTGTTGTTTTGTAAGAGACAGCAGCCTAAGCCAAACTTAGATGCATCACACTGTATTAAAATTGGTAGCTCAGAGTTAAAATTACTAAGAACAGTTAGGTCATATAAAGTACATTTTATTTTATCAAAACATTTTGTATGATGGTCAGTCCATGGAAATACATTTTCTTTCTTTAATAATTGTCTAAGTGGTTGTGGCAGGTTAGCCATATTAGGTATAAATTCTCTCAAATAATTTAACATGCCAAGAACAGACTTTAATTCTTTAATGTTTTTTGGGTTCTTTAGTTGTTGAATAGACTGAATTCTATCTGGATCTATTGAAAGCCCTTATTTTGGAAAGATATGAACTAGGTATTTTATTTCAGACTTTTTGTATTGTATTTTTTTAAATTAAATTTGATATTGTATCTTTTAGCTCTTTCCATAATAAGATTTAAGGTATTATTATCTGTGGCCAAAACTAAATCATAGTAATAAACAACCAAGCCTTTTATATCACCAAATATTTTAGTCATTACTTTTTGAAAGTAATCTGGGGCACAAGACAAACCAAACGGCAATCTTAAGAATTTGTAGTAACCAAAGGGAGTGCTAAATATACACAAGTCACTCGATTCCTCATTAAGTTTTATATTAAAAATCCATCCTTTAAATCAAGCCATGTAATTTTTTTTTTATAATTTTTTACTACTTGAATTGGCTCTTATATCCTGAAGAGTTGGAATAAATGCGAAGAGATGGCGCTGCCTTGCAGCTTAAGGCTAGGAAAATTTCGACGCGGGCGAATAGGTCCGTGGTAGCATAATGGTCAGTGCATTCGCCCGGATAGCGAAGGGTGCGGGTTCGAGTCCCGTCCGCTGCCTGGTCCGCGTGGATTTTTTTTTCTAGTAAACTTTACTTTACATCTATTAAAGATTTTCTACTAGCGACTTTGTCCGTTTCAGTGGGAATTTTGTTTTTTGATAAACCAGTAAAGGTTAAATATATATCAAACTTTTATATAAACAGATTCCACTTTTCTTTTATGTTTCCCGTACCTGTTATTCCAAGTTTTTCCATTAGCAGCGCCATGTTTTAGTCTTTTATATAATTTTATCTTAGTTAATTGAAACCACACTCCTTATTTAACAATAGACAATCAAATAATAATAGATTACAGATTAGCAATACAAAATTCAGTACATATTATTATAAAGACTGTGTGACTGATTTGGATGTGACCAATAGTCATGGCCGAAAGTTAAAAAAAAATTTTGTTGCCCTAGACGTTCGACTCTATATTAAAAGCTCAGGTATGTGTCGTAATGACGCACCGATTCATATTGGACCCTAATTAAGTACAGTACCAGTTACACCGCTGTGCCACCGTCACTTCATTATATGGCTCGGGATACATAGAAAAGTGTTAAAACGCAGTCGGAGCGCGGACATTGTCAGTTTCATACAAAATGAAGAAGCGTCGTGTCCACGCCCTGTCTGTTATAAGTTTTTTTATGAAAAGGACGCGGAAGAGACATATTATTATGTCCACGCTCCGTCTGCGTATTGCGTCTTTTCTGTCTGTACCGTGCCTAATGTGTTAAGTTTCTAATTCCAGAGTTAATGTAAATAATTACAACCCTACTTACACTAGACCATTTTGCTCATTACCACAGATTCAATCACAGATAAATCGAAGGTGAAATTCCAAGATGATCGTACCACCTATCATGAGGTACCTGATCAGACGAATGGCTTCCACGAATCTGAGCATTACGATGAGCATGCAGATGAATATCGCGATGAAAGAGAACCTTTTCATGAACAAGAGACGTTCCATGAAGAAGATGAGAAATTCGACGATCAAGAACAGTTCAATGAGGCAGATGATCAGTACCATGATGAAGATAATGTGTTTCATGATGAGCAGAGAGCCGAAGAGGATCGCATCGAGTTTCAACCGGAGCAGCCGAAGTTGACCCCGAAGCAGTGGTGGCACCGAGCCTACAACAAAGTGGTGATGCAGCTAAACGTGAGTAATTTTATCCATTTCAACGGCAAAAAAATAAAGTTATAATTTTATTTTACTTGGTTTTTAAATTTACAAAGTTTATTTCTAATTTTAAAGTATTTGACATCGTATAATTTCTTGATATTTTCTTTCTTAAATAAGTAAATTTAAGTGTTGATTGATTTTTAAAAGTTTTGTTTTTGCCGTCATTTTTTTAAACATGTTTTATAGGTACTTCAAAACTTTGTTTTTTTATTGGAGAATCAATAATTTTGCGCTTCCAAGGTAAGTTACTTGTGCATTAATATTTTTGAGCAGAATTTTCATTCCGTAAACGTAAAATTAAAATTTTGTACTAACATTACAAATACTGTTTTGATTTGTTTTAGTTTTTTGAAATAATGATCAAAAATATTTACAGGTTTATAGATTATTTATTTCTAATCAAATTTTACCAATGAAAGCAAGCATTCCTTGGATAAAATAAAAGCCATTCTTCGCAGCGGGTTCCTTAACCCCCGCTGTTATATAGGCCGTCATGGGAATATGATGATGACGATTTGCTAGCTTTCACACTTAAGCCTAGTCTGGAGTAAACGAACTTTTATTATATTGACCTTGAGTAAGTTCAGCGGAACGTTTGTGCCGTATTGCGACTAATTTATTGTATTTTCGTTAAAGGAGAACAGGTTTCCTGCGTATATTTTACGTTCAGATATTTACTTTACGTTAAGACTACTGTTTATATTAAGATAGTTTTATTTAAGGATTTTGATATGAAGATTTCATTAACAGGTTATTGACAATATTAAGATTCTACATTTTTAATGCAAAACATAAAAGTGCTTATGGAATAATATAGTCATTAGAAACTTTTTATACTACATACATTTAAAAGCTGAAAAAGATTTCATTAAATCAAGTGGTAGGCTTACTGATTTCTTATTTTTTTTTAATAAAGAAATAAGCAATTTTTAAAACGTCAGTTTATCGTTATTACTTATCGTACCGTTATTAAATATCGATATTGCATTCATTGAGATTGTGTTACAGGGAGTAAATGCAGACGCAATAAATTGTATACCTACTTAGGTACTTACTACAACTTCAGTGCAAGTAGAGGGTATAGTGCTCTTGCTGTGATAACTTACGCCGTAAATGCGAAAGCGTTGTTAGCAACTTAGTATGTTGACCTTGAAGGAAAAACTTGCCCACAATGAGTTGACAAGCTTTCCATAGTACAATGTAATGAGATTACTCTTCTGCAAATTTATGTCTTGTAGCGTCATAAAGCTTCATTTGAGAGCAATGTCCTCTCTTATATGAAATTTAAAACGATTGGCAAAGATTAAGTTTAGATTTAATAATGTTGAGACGAGCGACAATGTAATGCAAATGTGAAATGGAACGTAATAGCCACTAGATTATTATTGTTCTGTCTTTTTCACTATTAATGTTTTTTGGAATAATGCTTTACAAACTTATATTTGGGGAAAATTAAGTAGATATTTTTCGATCCTCAGATGTGGAAAAAAGCTATTTTTTTTGGTTTTTACTCACACTAGATGAATTCGTTTGACACCCAAAAAATTATGTAATTTTTACGGAAACTAACGACATAAAACTTAATAAATAACAATTTGTTCTATTTTTTTACATTTTATGCAAAATAAAGCACACACTTGTGTTTCTTAATATTTATAGATTTTTCAAACGAGATCAACGACATTTTACTTCGTTTTCCTATAAACGGGCGAGTGTCAATTTCGCGCGGCTATAAATTCATTTAATTACAGCTAATTGTTAGGAGAGGGCGACAAGAAGCCATAAAACTTTATCCATTGATGGTAATACACTCGAGAGCAATGAATCCGGTTCACATAAAGAATCCTAAAAATCTCGCAAACTAAGAATGCTAGCTTAATGAAATAAATTGTGTTTAATAGACAATTATTATGTACTCCTTAAATGAAGGTAATAAAATTTATGAGTCACCACATGTTATTTACAAACAAATACACAAAGAAAAAAAACTGGCTGATCTCGCCTTTAAACAAAAAGAAACGTGACATTTTTCAAGAACATTACGATTACCTTGAATTTTTATACTTCGTATTGCCTCCTCGTGCTTTAATTGTTGTGTTTACCTGCTTTCGCATGCTGTGCACCATGTTTCTTATACGATTTTGGGGAATATTCTCCCATTCCTCTGTGAGAGCAATTTTGAGCTCACGAAGAGTAATTAGGGGAGGGTTTCGTTGTTTTATGCATCTCCCTAGCTCGTCCTAAGCATGCTCCATCGGGTTGATACCTGGGCTGCGTGCTGGCCACTCCATACGAGTAATCATCTCTTGAAGGTAGTCATTCACAATCTAACCTGTATGAGGTCGGGCATTGTCATGCATAAAAATAGCATCTTCGCCCAAATTAACAATAGATGGACCAACGTGTTCATTCAATATTTCTTCCACATATCTGTCGCTAGTTAAAGAGCCGTTTTCTATGAACACCAGTTCTGTGCTACTCTCAGAAGAAATTCCGGCCCAACAAGTACAGACCCACCAGCGTAGGCTACTTTTTGTTCGATGCATGCTTGCTTGAATCTTTCCCCAGGTCTTGTATATACTCTGTTAAATCTGAGCATAAATTTTGATTCGTCGGAGAATATAACTTTGACCAATCGTCAATAGTTCAATTTAAGTGGTTCTGGGCATATCTTAGTCCTGGAATACGATGACCACGCTCCAGATTAGGGCCGTTTACAGTTCTAAGTGGTTTCAAGCTAGCTTCAGCAAGTTGTCATCTTACTGTCCATGCGCTTGGATTACTTCTTCCGAGGCGTCAAAACTGATTTGTAATTTCAGTTCCTGTGAGAAAGCGTTTTCGAAGCATGGTGTTCACCAAGTATCGATCTTCTCGTGCTGTGGTACACCTGGTTCTGCCTGTTCCTGGTCTGCGTAGGTTAGAGCCAGTTTCCTCGTAATGTCGGAGCACTCTTTGTATGGTTGACAGCCACACACCGAGAGAGGGCTCTCACGCAATACAGCCAGGAGGCTGTATCGCGTTGACTCCGGCCGGTTTCCAGCATTGTCAGAATACTGATGCATTCCTCAGGTGTAAGCGACATGACTTCAGCTTGAATAATTAATATTGAACACTATCGACATGGTTTATATGAATTACAAATGGCAGTTTAGAAACAAAAGCAAAAACAAATGCAGTAATTTCGTCTTAATTTGTCTATTAATTAGAATTTATTTTATTAAGCTAGCATTCTTAGTTTGCGATTTTTAGGATTCTTTAAGTGACCCGGATTATTTGCTCTCGAGTGTATTTAGTTAGACAGAACTTAGACTATAATACAAATAAATGTTGCATAACTAATGATGAAGTAAATGTAATTGAAAGTTTTACCTTACCATTCAGCAACTTGTGACATTAAAGTTAATGAAAAACCGTCTGATTTAATATGGTAATGATTTCTAGGCCTCATTGCATTTTTCATGACTGATAGTACCTAGGTATTAATATTGAAATAGTTATTAAGAATCTACTTACAATATCTTGTAGTTTTATATCTCATTTTTTCAAAATAATATGTTCAGGATGACAGTTTAGGGGAAATACGTAACATAATGAATCTATCTCAGACGAACTCCATAATAAATATTACCAAAAGTTTGATGAGACAATATAATGAACGTTTGAGTATTAAATTGCCAGTTAAGTCATTGGTTAAATTTGAGCCATAAAACAACTTCTGATTGGGCTTTATGTCTTGTGTATTAACTGCCAAGCAGTAAACCAGTAGAATGGATAACTTAAGCGAATGTTCACCCCTTAATCGTGCTTTAAGCATATTTAACAGATTACATTTTGTCATTACATAATTATAATGCTTGATTATCGTCTCCAGAAACTTATTTAAAAAAACTGTCGGCTACGTAGTAATAAATAATAAATCGACTTATAAATAACCACACATTATCCAATTATACTATTATTATTAGTGAATAATAATAATTCGTATTTATACTATATACGAATATAATTATCATAAAACTTAAAAAAAATACTTTTAAAGCTAAGCCAAGTATCGTAAATTACTTTTATTAAACCAAAATTTAAATGAGATTTGCTTTAGAATAGTTTTATCTGAGGAAATTGTAAGTTAATTAATAATAAATTTTCAATCTAGCAGGTTGTATGTTGATATAAACTTCTTATTTATTCTATCATTTATAATATAAAAAAAAGTTTTTATGCCTCTCTAATCTATATTGTACATTGTGCATATATAAAAATAAATCACGGGGAGTTTTAAAATAAAAATGTACAATCTACAATTTAGTTATCAGTAACAAATATAATTAGGTATGCGTTTCAAAATATCAACTTATGAATAAGTATGAATATAAAAATTACCTTTGATTTTATTTTATCTTATCAGCGAACGTCTTATGATCTCGTATGTCGTCTGCGCCACAGAGTTAGCGGAGTTAATTGAAATAGTTATTTAAAGAAAATATGCATTCGCACTAAAAGCGTATTATATCTCATTACGATGGATACATAAGTGACAATAATTAGTTTACAAAGTATTGGAACATATTATGCAATTATGAGGTTGTATAGGTAGGTAGCTATTCAGGCGTATGGGGTTGGAACGAAGACAAATAGACAGAAGTGACTTAATCTTGATTAGTAGAACACCAACGAATACAAGCAAACTCCATAGTATACATAGTGAATGAGTTATTTTTAGAGACAGGACTATACGGAAATTGTATTTTCAAACTTTTTTGAGTATAGTTATATATAAGCATCAAATTAATTGTAATATTTGTGTTTAACACTGGTTTTAATAACATGTACAAATATTATATGCAAACTATGCAGCTACTAATCCATAAAATGTCTAGAGGGTTTTTTCAATTCAAAATGAATCTCAACTGTCCTAATAAGCAATTATATTTTTCTATTTCCCTGCAACGGGAAACGGACATACGACGGCCAAGGGGCAATTTAGCCTAAATTGAAGAGAAATATTTATTTTTTATTACATA